GGAAGCCCCGAAAGCGGACCAGACCATGACACCTGAAAGCCCCCCAAAAGCGGACCAGACTGTGACACCTGAAAGCCCCGAAAGCGGACCAGACCGTGACACTTGAAAGCCCCCCAGAAGCGGACCAGATTGTGACACCTGGAAGCCCCGAAAGCGGACCAGACTAATCCCCCCAAGAGCGGAACAGACTGTGACACCTGGAAGCCCCCCAAAGGCGGACCAGACCGTGACACCTGAAAGCCCCCCAAAAAGCAGCCAGACTTTGCACCTAGAAGCCCCGAAAGCAGACCAGACTGTGACACCTGAAAGCCCCCCAAAAGCGGACCAGACCGTGACATGTGAAATCCACAGAAAGTGGAGCAGACCGTGACACGTGAAAGCGCCCCGAAAGCGGACCAGACTGTGACGCCTGGAAGCCCCGAAAGCGGACCAGACCGTGACACCTGAAAGCCCCCCAACAGCGGACCAGACTGTGACACCTGAAAGCCCCCCAAAAGCGGACCAGACCGTGACATGTGAAATCCACAGAAAGTGGAGCAGACCGTGACACGTGAAAGCGCCCCAAAAGCGGACCAGACTGTGATACTTGGAAGCCCCGAAAGCGAACCAGACCGTGACACCTGAAAGCCACCGAAAAGCGAAGATTGGCACAGGTTTCCCCAAAATCAGAAATTTAGTGCGCATCAAAAACCGCAACTGTTCAGTGAAAGGCACGGCAGAACAGCACCCATGCAAATTACAGTCACGATGAATCTCCTGTAGGAGTTTACCGACGTACTGACCGCAAGCGCTGGCTCAAAAGATCAACTGCAAGCGCTTGAAAGACGTGTTATTTGCAAGCAGTTTTGTGCTTTCCTTGAGGTCCGCGCTGTTCCAACTGCTGGTTTTGCATTTGGTAAGTTTGGGGTCTAGGGACGACAGATTTGTTTAAACCAAATTTGGTGAAACGCCTGTTGCGCTCATGTTTTAATTGCAAGGACGGTACTATGGGTAGTTGCGGGCAGGGTTGAAGGTTCACAAATACACGCACCAACAAAAGTTTCCTAAGCCCTAAACTGTGCCGGTAATTACGCATGAGCTTTCAAGCAGGAACAGGGGCAGTCTTGGCGTTGGCTTAAGGGCTAGAGGTACTTGGCGGTTAGGTGCGTATCACGTGCTTATAGCTGTTCCTGCTACTACGGCCCAGCTATAAGGCTCCTAATTAAGTCCCATAAAGCAGGTGCAATTGGGCTTGACCACCGTTAGCCTTGTGTTATAACTAATTTGGGTTGCTGTTAAGGAGCTAAATCTGAGTTAGCATATTATGGGTATATCGTAAATGATAGGATATCCTAATTATAATGTCCTTAATATAGTAACTTGAATTAAGTTCCTTGGCAGCAACTCAGCAACTAGCCATGAACTTCCAGGTAACCTTTAACCTGTGCAGTCCTTTCTTGGTAGTTTCCCAAAAGTAGGGTGCCCCAATATACACCCCCAAATACTACAGTCCTTTTTATGGGGATCCCAAAAGGATGCCCTAATATTGAGAAACCCCTTTTGATTCCAGCAGGCTGAGCTTTAATCCATGGGCTGCACGAGTAATTTGACTACTTGAAGGCTTATGCCCTGTAGACTCCGTTCAACGCATTCGCTCTTGAGGCCTAGGTTGCAATATTCAGAAAATCGAAAAGGATACAAGGCTTAGACAGGGGAGCTGGAGGATGAACTTTCAATATGAGCTATAGTCTAAACTCCTAGTATCCCCTTTAATAACCTCTATCACACTCCCCTATACAATCCCCCATAGAAGCCCCCTTAAAGGAGTTGAGACTGAAAGGGCAGTGGGTTTCGAGCCTAGGGGTGGACCACCTGGATTGCCCAAGGGCCCAAGTACCCAAATCATGGGTTTTGTATAGGTCTGTACTATATACTCTACACCCTCAGCCCCAAACCCTAAATACTAAAACCCTAAACCTAGATGGTATTTGAGACCTAATATTGTGAAAATTTGGTATTTGGCCCCTTAGAGGTTGCCT